ATTTAGTTATGGTGTCTTCAGAGGAGTCAATTGTGAGACAATCCCACACTCCTTAAGATAGTCAAGGAACTCGGTACTAAGATACTCACCACCTCGATCGGATCGAAGCATCTTAATGTTCCTGCCCAATTGATTTTCTACTTCCTATTTGAATTCCTTAAACCTTTCAAAGGTTTCTGACTTATGTTTGATTAAGTAAACATACCCATATCTACTAAAATCATCAATAAAAGTCACATAATACCGATTAGCATCCCTTGTGGCAGTTTTGAATGGTCCACATACATCAGTATGTATTAGGTCCAACAAACCCTCACCCCTTTCACAAGTTCCAGTGAAGAGTGATTTTGTCATCTTTCCAAGTAGACAAGACTCACAACTATCATCCGATTTAAGTTCGAATGACTCCAAGACTCCACTCTTTTGGAGTTGGCCTATGCGTTTCTTGTTTACATGTCCAAGACGACAATGCCACAATGATGCTTTATCTAGGCTAGTAGAAGAGTCAATATACAACACATTATTTCCTAAGTTGTCTACAATCGACACAGTTTCATACACACCATCACAAGGTAATGCTTTAAAATAAAACACGTTATTAAAGAAAGCATTAATATCACCACAATCATTATCAAACGAAAAGGTAAAACCTTTTTTGTACAAAGGATGAAAGGAAATAATATTCCTCTCCATTTCAGACGAGTACACTCATTTATTCAAATCTAATTTTAACCCATTATTCAGCAACAAAGTATAAACTCCAATCTTGGAAACAGGTGAAACCTTCCTATTCCCCATGATCAAGTTTATCTTCCCGTGCTCCACATCCTCACTTCTTCTTAGGCCCTGCAAATCAGAACATATGTGAATACCACATCCTGTATCAAGTACCCAAGAGTTACAATGTGGTGACTTATTAGACAATATTGTGTAAATACCTGCGTGGGTGGGTTTCACTTTCCCATCCTTCAGATCCTGCAAGTATTTAGGGCAGTTTCGCTTCCAGTGCCCCTTGTCATGGCAATAGTAGCAATCAGCATCCTTGGGAATGGCAGAAGGAGTGACAGAACTGCTCTTGGTCCTTGATGAGGAGCCTTCAAGAGACTTTACCTTGGTACCCTTCGAAGGGTGCTTCCTGTTTTTCCCTTTGCCTTGCCCGATAGCCAAAACAGGGGTAGATGTTGGAGTAGGAGTAGTAGAGATAACAACCGTTTTGCCCTTAAGACCGGTTTCAGTGGTCTTCAAGAGTCCTTGAAGCTTGCTAAGGGTAACTTCTTCCTTGTTCATATGATATGTCATACGAACATGGTCATAACAAGAAGGTATGGAGTGCAAAATGATGTCAATTGCCAACTCCTCAGGGAAGTTCACATTCAGCTTCAGCAAACGGTCCGCATACCTTTGCATCTCTTGCATGTGGGCCGTGACGGATTCACCATCCTTCATGCGGGTTGTTATTATGGAGGAGATTATTTCATACCGCTCCTGACGAGCACTCTAATGGTACCTTTCCATCAGGTCTTGGTGCATCTCAAAAGGGTAGAAGTCCTCATAGGACTTATGGAGCTCGGCTGTCATCGTGGCCATCATGATGCATGCCACCTTAGTAGCATCTCTCTCATGTGTCCTGAATTCAGCGATCTCCTCAGGAGTAGCAGTAGACTCATCAAGCTCTTTTAACTCCTTATCGAGGACATATTCCTTGTCCTCATAACGAGTTACCATCCTGATGTTCCTTATCCAGTCCATGAAGTTGGAACCATCAAAGATGACTCTCCCACAAATATTCATGAGAGAGAAAGAACCAGTTGGGTTAGAGCCCGAAGCATTAGTGTTGGAAGACATCTGAAAGAAGAAAGTAAGTTTAGATTAGATATATAGAGTCCTTAATAAGACACCCAAATGTAATATTAAGGTAAGGATCCAATCACAATATATTATACTTAGAAGAGGGATGTCGTAATCTAAGTAATAATATATTTGAAAGGTAGGTGAATGACGATTCACCAATTTCCACCACGAAATCAAAATGATTTATTAGGTTTTAATTGGATTTGAAATTCCTAGATTCTTTTGAGATTCATTGAACTTTTCAATGGCATGTTTCAATGTCGATTGTGCCCTTCAAGTTTTGTGACTGGGATGCCGAGGATCACAAAACAAGGTGTGAATAACCATGCTAATTCAATTGGTACCCTTAATATTATCACCTAATCAATGTGCCGATTAACCACACACGCTCCATTGATCTATGACCACTACTAGAAAAACAGCCTTTTACGACGCTCATTGCGCGTCGTAAAAGGCTCAGACGACGCGCAAATGCGCGTCAAGGAAGGCCCTGTCATAAAGAAAGACGACGCAATTTTGCGCGTCGTCTATAGACGACGCGCATTTACGACGCTCATTTACGACGCGCGTTTACGACACGCAATGCGTATCAAGGAAGGCCCTGTCATAAAGGAAGACGATACACATTGACGTGTCGTAATCTTACGACGCGCGTGTTAATGACACGCAATGCGTATCAAGAAAGCCATTGTCAAGAAAGGCCATGTCATAAATGAAGATGACACACATTTTTGCGTATCATAATTTTAAATGTTTAAAAAAAATATTATTTATAGATTTACTAATTTTCAAATTAAATAATACATTAAAAATCTCATAATACAAAATAAAATACCATAAATAACAAAGATAATTCATTTCACTAATATGTCAAATACAAATAACTATTCCAGTAGTGAGTAAATGTTATAAAAAAAATGAACTCATTTATATACAATTGCATTATCTAGCTTACTATGTGCCAACAACTCTCTGTGTGTTCACTTTTGCTTGAGTCTTGTTTCCTCGAAAGCTTCTAAATCACAACCCTTTTTAAACATACTAGAGACAGGATCCAATCCATGGGGTATTTTTGGAAAATAGTCTGAACATTCTTGACAAATCATCAACCTGCAAGTGAAGGGTAGAAAGGGAAGAAACAAATGTTCACAACCAGTAAGAAATCTAAACTCTAGAAGTTTCACAGTAATTGTTGAACACTACTTTCATTTTTTTTATTATGCCATTGTACTTCTAGTTTTTTTCCCTTAGTATATGAATGACATTGTTATAATAGGGTATTTTAAGTACAACCTTGTGATAGGAAAAATGAAAGTAGGATGCTATAATACACAAAGTAATACAAGTACAATGATAATGAATTATTTTTACTTGTTATTGTGCAAGGTCTTAATTTGTAAAAGTTGTTTCAACTTGCGAATGATAAAGAAGAAAGGCATTGAATATTACCAAGGTATGAATTGTGGGGTCCAGGAGAAGCTTCCGGATGGTATTGAGGAGACATAAGCTTTTGTTGAGGGAAGGCAAGACCTATACAGATTCCATTCGTAATTGTGATTCACATGATGCATGCAAGGTAATGCACATGAGCCCAATCAATTTAGATTCAGATTATGTAGTTTACCTTTGTTTTTGTTAGCTTCAAGAAATAAAGTGAAAGTTGATGTTAACTTTAAGTGTATCTTCTTTTTCTGTGTCCTGTAACAGCACACACAACAGAACAAATAACAGATTTAAGTGTTTACAACACAAAACACAAAACTTTCCATATTCAATATATATAATTATATCCATCCTACAACAAAAAGGCGGAGAGATTAGAGAATAGAGAATATTCACCCATATCAACTCTTCTAGGGCTTTCACCTTTCTTGTATCAGAGTGATGTTAAATTAGCCTTTCTAAATGGCGATGTAGAAGAAGAGGTGTATGTCCCTCATCTTTGTTAGAAAAATATGAAACACTTTACGAGCACACTTAAAGGATTGGACTACACTACCTAACTTACACTAAGACAGATATTGCATTTCCATTCAGCAAAGTTTCAAGGTTATTAGAACTGTTGACTTTGGGATTTGCCAGACAATATATAATTATAATATACTATACATTACTAATATATAACTTGTAAAATACCTTCTGTTTTGGTGCATTGGATCTCAAAGAAGCTAGAGAATCTGAAGCTAGCTTATAATCTACACTATCATGAATGTCTTCAAGGAAGTATGTTGGTACAGGTGTGCATGAATAACAGGGCAGTCACCAAAGTAATGAGAAAATAGCTATGAATCGACTCTTGCTGACCTGAAAAACAAATTAACTTATGAATAAAAATATTCATGAGTTATGACATTTTGTAATTTTCGGCATATATGTGATCATACATACATAAGGATAACTTTCGTGTGCTTTGAGCAGATTGCTTCTCTATAAAACTGTAAGTAGCTGTAAGCAAAGCTATAAAGACTGCAGGGACCCAAAAGCTATAAAGACTGCAGGGACCCAAAAGAATGAATATGTAAATACGTATAAACATTTAAGCTATATTTCCATGGTTCTAGTGAATAATCAGACTATTAATAAATATTAAATCTCAATTAACTACCCCACTTGATTAACAACGATTAACAACTAAAACAAACAAACTTTCATTACCAAAAAAAAAACAAATTAAAAATCCCAAATTTAACTAATCAAAACTAAGAAATATACCACGCACTAATTTTTTGGGGGAATAAAAACAAAGTCTGGTAAAGGAACTCATTATTACAGATATACATACTCCACAAAACTAACTTTAATTAATTGAAAAATAGAAATAAGAAAAATACCATTCGGCTAATCTAGTAGCGATTAGAGAAAGAACATGAACAGCGGTGGTGGCCAGGCTCACTCCGGCGACGGCAAACATAGAGAACAGGGCAGTGGCTGTGGTGAATGGGGCAAGAAAACTTCTTGGGCAGCTAGGTTAGAAAAGGGAGAGAGTAGCGGGAGTGAACTAGGTTAGATGAGAGAGAAGAGAGCCAATTTTTTATGAAAAATTCAAACGGCTTGGGTGCCAGCATCAATTTAGTGGGGACATATCCAATTACAATAAAGAAAAACTTATTATGTTAATATATATATATATATATACTGTGGACCAGCATTTAAGTGGGGTCCATGCACCCCACTTCTTCTACACTAGATCCGCCACTGCCCATACCAATGCAAGGTTGCTTATCAGCTGTGTCAATCAAAAACCTTCAACAACAACAAAAAAAAACTATCCAATTTAGATTTTATCATTATTTACATTTTTGTTGAAGCATTCCATAAATTCAAAATCTTTTACTTAAAAGATTATTTTAACTCTATGTCTCTATCAACAAGTTTGACAATCTTACCCTTCATACTCGGAACCTATATCAGATAACTTATCACAATGGATTGTTGAAGCAATCTTTTCAGCTTCTTCCGCTGATACCCCTGTTACAATTATTAAAAAAGAAAAATGAAAAACTATATTTTAACTCTATGTATCTATCAACAATTGAAAATAAGAAGGATAACGAACCAGGGTAAGTACATTGGGAGGTGCATTTACAAGCTCTTTTCCCAAAATTACCCCTGAGCAAACATGCTCTGTGTACTTGAGTTTCTTTTCTAACTCGGGTCCACCTCCAAGGTTAAGAGAGCCAATTGACTTGAGATGAGGCTTCTTTGACTCGGATTTAAATGTGTTATCTTCATATGTCCCTAACAATGCACCTATATTACTGTAATGATTCAAATTGCTATGATTATTATCCTCCTCTGGATTATTATTTGTAGAAGGTTTATTGAAAGTGTTTATAGCATCAGCAACTGAAGTTTTTACTTCATGTAAGTCTCCATTAACAGAATTACTGGATGCAGCTTTTTTAGCTGCTGCTTTCTTTTTACGGAACTCCTCAAGCTGTAAAACCAAAACATGTTGAATTTTTTTTAATATAAATGCAGTACATAAATTATATTCTTTGAATGTAATTGTCCACTTTGACCTATGATCAAGATTTGGCACTATAAATACACATAAAGATCATACACAAGCTTCACCTTGTTATTGCAAAAGTTTGATAAAGATGCAATGAATTCATCAGGGCAGCAGTGTTGCAACCGAACAAGTAAATAAAAGATAACACCATAATTCTCTAGAAAGAAAGACTGGTGCTAACCTCTTTAATGACCTTAATATGAACAAAAAAAGCTATTTTATATCTCACCATAATCATCTTAGTATAGTATGAATCTTTAAGAAATACTTAGATCAAAATTTGAGCATTCAGGTTGTTATTTCTTGAATGGAATATACCAGTTGCTATTGCTGAGGCAGTTGTAAGCTTCAATTCAGGAGTTAAGTCTTGTGAAGAAGCAAGAGCACACCCCAGATATCACATCATAGAAAACAGAACACTGGAATAGAAGCAAACCTTCCTCCCAGACTATGGATAATGACCTAACTATAGCTTTGCTTCTAGTGAAAGGCTCTTTCACAGACTTCACCACAAACCCACTTCTTAATCCCATATTCTTCCATAAAATCTCAACATTTTCCCCGAATGATTGTGAGAACCTAATCCCGTGAGATATCCAGTCGTTTTTCTTGGCACGTGGAATGATATCATACCGAGGTTTTATGGGAAATTTGTTTCCAAGATAACCCAAACAGTTCACGTTTCTTGGCTTTAAGGAAGATTGGAAAGCTGCCCCAACAAATGGGTTTTGAAGTCTGCTACTCATTATCTTCACTAAAAACTCATGTCACAGCTTGCAGATCAAGTATTGGGGACTCAGGACTTACTCCTAAGAGGAGAGGTCGTCATTCCAAAAAAACAAATGGAGAAGAAGAGAATAATCTTCGTACCTAATTTAGGGAATAAAAGAATCTTTAGAGATTGAATGTAAGAGAAAGAAATCTAGGGCACATACATGAAGAAGAAGAGAACAATCTTCGAACCTGATGCCTCCTCCGCTTTTTTTTTTTCTGCATCTTGATGCTTCCGATCGTACCCTAAACCTCAGACTTTCGATCCCAAATCTGACTTGCAACCTTCGATCCACCTGTGGGAGACCTAGGGGAAGTTGATCGCCTCTATCCACCTGCCAAAAAAGTGAATCGTCTTCCCGTAAGTTTTCGGCGCTTTCTCCCGATCTTGCCGCTCAACCGGACCAATGATGCCGGGAAGGAAAAGGACGTCGCTCTTCACCTCATACTCGTGGATGTGCCACATCGGCTTTTCTGAGTCCGGCAAGGTTAAGAACAGTTTTTATGTTATGATGTTTTCAACTCCTATTAACCGGGCATCGACGACTGGACGATCGTAGATCAAGCACTGTCTCATATCCTCGTTTTGATGGCGACGGAAACGGCGGCATAAATGGAAAGGGGATATCAAAGCACCAAATAGATAGACACGGGAGGCGGGAGAGAGAAGAGTCGAATGAGTGTTTTAAAAAGCCCTAGAAATTATCCCAATGATATTCTGATATATGAATTGTTGAGGTATACAACAGAGATGGTATCGTGATTAGGGTTTGCAGAGAAAAATGAAGAATAGAACGAAGGGGATCTTGAAGCGGGGTATTAAAAATTTTAAAAATTTTGAGGGGATTTCATTTCCCCCTTTCAAGAACGCGCGTTTTAGTAAAAATCATAAAGCGACAATCACAGTGGACGCACGTTTTAGATAATGTGCCCTCCGTGTTTTTTTTTTTTTACATTAGACACTAATTTAGGGGCACGCAATAATGCGCGACCTAAATCCTCAAATTTTTTGAACAGACGACACGTTTTTATTGTCACTCTCTTTTGTGTAACATAAATCAGTGAGCGTCGTGATTTGCGCATCGTGAAAGGGTCTTTTTCTTGTAGTGGACAAACATTAAGTCACCCTTCGTGATCCTTACTAGTCCAAGTTAGTGTGCCGATTAACCACACACGCTCCACCAACGACTTGGTAAGGTACAAAGTGTGAACTCCATGGACTAGCACCATGTTCACATTTTTCCTAAAGTAACTAAGATTGGGAATTAAATAAAAGATTTAGTTACTTTATAATATTCATCATACTTAATGAGAATTTATAAGTCCTTGTCTTACCCGTTCGGCTAACGACCCTCCACCAGTCAAGCAAGCGGTGGGTGAGAGTGGACACCCATTAAGTCGCCATTTTATAGGCAACAACCTTATACCTACCTTATAGACCGGCTTCGTGAATGAGGCCTACTAACGGTAAAACGACTTGTTCTTATACATATATATATATATATATATATATATATATATATATATATATATATATATATATATATATATATATATATATATATAATTAACCATTAATGTTATAAATAGTATAAGTGTTGAATTTTAACTTTTAAAACTCTAAGTGTTGGAATTAAAGTTTATTAAAGTGTGTGAAACTTTTCCAAATTCCAAAACTTGAGGACAAGTTTTGTAACTCTTCAAAATTTTTCATTTCATAACTTATGAATTAAAGGTTCATAAAATGAAGACTCTTCATTTTATGTAACTTATGTGTTTTCAATGTGCATTAAAGAAAAGTGACCTTTGGATATCCATAACTTGAGGACAAATTATGGACTCCATTAAAACACATAAATGATCAAGAATTAATCCTAAACAATTCAGCAAATAATTCCTATCATCTTCTAAATTCATAAGAACATGAACATGATTATCAAAGTTTCAAAAACTATATGAACACATACAAAGAATGAAATTTTGATACATGCTATTGTAAATGGATTAGAACAATCATTACACCAACTAAAATAAGTTTTAAAACATCAAAACAGTTTAGGGTAAAGTTTCTAGTCCATTTCCAGCAACAAAAGTCGAAAATCTGCATTCTGAACCTTCTACTCGCCGAGTGCACGAACCTACTCGGCGAGTAGGATGAATTTTGCCTTGGACTCGGCGAGTCCCCCCATGGACTCGGCGAGTTCATCATGCAGACAGCAAAAAATTTGACTTTTTTCACTATTTTGCATCAAGTATCAAACAAGCAATCCTAGGCTCTGATACCACTGTTGGGTTTTGAACAATCTAACACTTCCTAAGTGTGCATGCAACCCTAATAAACCTTGGATCTATGTTTGTCTAAATACATGCAAAATAATAATTTTCCAAGGTTCATAACCTATCTAACATGGCATGGGATACTTTTAAACATAAAAGAATTAGATGAGATTACATACCTTTTTGATGAGTTTGATTCCTAAGGAGTTTGAGGGCCAAGCACCAATAGTGTGAATGCTTCAAATGGAATCACAAATCACCACAACCACTTGGAAAAATTTCAGAGAGTGTATACACACTATAATTTTGGCCACACACAAACACACACACTAGTGGCTATTTCATGCAACATAAGCATGATTATATAGTGTACATGGTTAGGGTGAAACCCTAATAACCCATGACCTTTCCTTTTCGAAGGATCCATGGGTTAAAAGCTCCATGGATCATCCATGGACTTCCATACAAGCCTAGCCCATTAACAAATGAGCGTTAGCCCACACCATATAAAACCAATAGCCCACAATCTAATTAGTCTTCCTTTTAATCTCTAAATTAATTCATAATTAATTTAAGACTAAGACTAATTAAATAACATGACTTCATATTAATATATTATAACTTATAATATATTAATAATCATATGTGTATAACTCTCATAAAATTATCCATAAATAGTTCGGGTGAAGTGCAACCCAAATGGGCCATGCTGGGTCGGGTTAAGTATATACCAAATAAGTTATGGACTTAGACACCTTATCCAACAAACCCGACCTTAAGTCTATCTTAGAGAACCAAGATGCCCCCTACAATTGGTCGAAGAGATCATCGATCCTAGGTAATGGATACCGGTTTTTAACCGTCAACTTGTTCAACTCCCTGTAATCGATACACATCCGCTGTGAACCATGCTTTTTCTTGACAAAAAGAATCGGTGCTCCCCAAGGTGAGCTACTCGGTCGAATAAACCCCTTTCCCAACAGCTCCTGAAGCTGCGAGGATAACTCCTGCATTTCTGGTGGAGCGATGCGATAAGGCGCCTTGGCGATGGGCGCCGCTCCTGGAACCAAATCGATACGGAACTCCACTTGCCTTTCCGGAGGCACACATGGTAGTTCTTCGGGAAACACATCCGAAAACTCGCACACTACTAGAACCTCGTCAACCGAGTTTGGCCTCCCCACGACCACTCGTGTGTCCATCACATTGGCTATGAATCCACTGCAGCCCTGCTGCAAACTCTACCTTGCCCTAGCAGCCGAACAAAACGTTGACCCACACCGGGTCCCCTCACCATACACAGTAAGCACTCCCCCACTAGGGTCTCGTATAGTCACCAGCTGTCTCTTGCAGTCAATGACTACCCAAAACTTACTCAACCAATCCATGCCCACGATGACGCAGACATCTCCCATCGCTATAGGAACCAAATCTATAGGGAACTTGACACCAAAAATCTCGAGCACACATCCTCGAATCACGTCAGTGGCGTATACCGCTTTCTCATCTGCTATGGAAACCCTCAGGGGTCGACTCATCACCTCTCGATCAATATTGATATGCTGGCTAAAAGCCAAAGATACAAAAGACCAACTCGCACCCGAGTCAAATAATACCAAAGCATGTATAGAATTCACAAGAAAAGTACCTACGCATATCATAATATAAGCACAATATCTCAGCATAAAAGTAAATACACGAAAGAATACATACCAGCCACGACATCGGGCACCGCGCGGGCCTCCTCTATAGTCAACTGAAAAGCTCTCCCACGAGCCTTCGAAGCCTCGGATTTCACCGGCCGAGTCTTGGTAACCCTAGCAGTAGGCGCAGATCCCTGGTGAAGCTGAGGACACTAGACCTTCCGATGGCCGATCTGGTTGTAATGAAAGCAAACCATAAATCCCTTGGGGCAATCCCTAGCGATGTTCCCCTCCTTGCCACACTTGTAGCAAGCACCTGATCGACATGCCCCCTCATGACCCTTACCGCACTTTCCGCAAGTACGGCCCTTCTGACCTCCCGTCCTCAGATCGGCGGACTTGGTCCGCTTGGCTGCCGGCTGGGACTGAGCCGACCGCCGATCCACCCGCTGAGACTCGGCCTCCTCCTTAGCCCGAGTCTCCAACTCGATCTCTCTCTTCCTGGAATTTGCCTGGAGCTCAGCAAAGGCCTGGTATGACGAGTTCGATACGAACTCGTGAATGTCCCTCCTGAGTACACCCAAATATCGACTCATCCGAGCCTGCTTAGTGGACACCTGCTCAGGGCAGAACATCGCCCTCTCATGAAACTTCCGGGTGATCACAGTAACCGAATCATTACCCTTCTTGAGGGTCAAGAATTCCTAAACCAACCGTTCCCTCTTCACCAGGGGAACATACTCATCTCTGAACATATAAGTAAATCTCTCCCAAGTCACAGCTGAAATCTCCGCAAGAGTGAAGTTCGCCGTCATGAACTTCCACCAATCCTTTGCTCCCAGGCGGAGCTGGTTCAAAGCGAACCGTACCCTCATATGCTCCGGACATGAACATGTGTAGAAGCATCCCTCAATGT